ATTGTCTGTGATAGTATGAACAGCTCTTTTGAGGAAAAAAGACATTATAATAACTAGTGCTGATTTAATATCATCTGGTTTTGAAGTCCTACTAAGCTTTTGTTCTTCTGTTTCCATAGGTTTTAGCATGATGTATCTTATTGGGTTTTATAATATGTGATAATATAAACAAAGTTTTTTATGAACAAGGAGATACAGTAACCATTATTGGTTTTCTGTCAGTTGGTTATGAATATCCTGTAAGAGTTTCATTCTTTTGTATGGTTTTATACTATTTTGTTATGTTTGATACTATAGTGTATGAAGGTATACTCAAATATTTCAAGGAAAGAAATATTTGTTTTGTTATGTCCTCTTTTATCTTAGTCTTTTTAAAATAAAAAAAATAAGACCATTGCACTGTTACACATCTTGCAGTCATAAAGCATGGTCCAATTTGTGTTTATTAGTACCTGGAGTCCATAGTAGTGTGTCTCAGAAACTCTTAAGGAATGCCTTAAATATCATGTCTGTTTGTATTGCAGAGAGAATTTATTATATTTACATTACCCTCAAAATTTGAACATCTATGAAACCTGGTGTCAACATGTTTTTATACAGTGTTTTCCATTTCTTCCTCATTTGTCCATTATCATGGAAAAAGTGAGGAACCTAACAGTGTGGATCCATGGAAGAGCAAGGTGCCCCCAGCAGAGTCAAGAACAGAGAGAAGGCCATTACCTGCCCATATAGGAAGTTGCATTTCAGTTCTCTCTGTTTAGTCCTCAATCCTGGGACTCTTACACCTATCTATTTTGAAATAATTGAGAGATAGAGCTTTCCAATCATATGGATTTGATGACATGGGAAAAAAACTTTTGACAATATTCCCTAAGATGCAAATCAAGGTGGCCATGTCTCATTATGCTCGGTAAGCAGTCATTTAATCATAGTTTCAAAATTATGGAAATATAAAAATATTACATAGCGAATCTGGGCAAGTATTGTATATTATATGTCCACCTATCCACCATCTATTCATCTATGTGTCTATGTACCCATCTATCATCATTCTACCCATCTATGCTGCGTCATATTTCTATTTACCCAATCTACACTGTGTATTTATTTGCCTTTAATTTATGGAAGCATTGTAAATATATAATATACCCACATACTTGTTTTCCATTTTTCAGTTTTGTCATTATCTGTCATTCATGCATGTATCATCCAAAATTTAACTATTTTGTATCACTCTGCCCACCCATATCTTAACTATTTCATCTATCATTTACCTATCATTGATGGATGTATCATCTGCTTAACTGTCTTATTAATGTAGATGAGATCACAAACCCTCAATATGTAATTAGTAAATGTTAATATACTTGTGAAATTTGCCTAAGAGGCTGAGAACAAAATATAAACCATGATACCACTTTCTGATTGTTTACTTCCCCATGGAAATCAACCTACAGCATACATATGCTTAAAAATGAAGCCTGAACTTAATACAACTTAGCAGCCCTTGCCCTGAGTATTTTCTATAGTGGAATAAAATTTGATGTTCACTGTGCAATAAGCAATCCTGTAACACATTTATTGCAATGTGTGTACTGAAAACTAGAATCAGCACAAATGACTTTTAAAGTTGGAGCAGGTATACAAACTAGAAATTGTTCATAGACTGACTACAATCTTTCCATAAAAGCCATGTGTATTCCTGTACATGCTTCAGGAGCCCAAACCTGGCCTAGTGAAGACTTTGTAGGCCCTGCTCTTCACTGGACCCTGTCTGTTCACTTCCTTCGTCGTGATGTCTCTGAGGCTGGATCCATCAGCACAGAGAGAAGGAGATTGAACAGAGGGGACAGGATGATGACAGGTGAGGTCCAGCTGGTAACTTATTGCTGATTTGCCAAGTTAACATCACCTCAGACCAGAAAAGGGGTGCTTGGGGCAAAAAATGTAATCAGTAGCAGAGCAGAGGGCCCTGGGGATCCAAAGAAATCTAGGGATCCAGGAAGTGTCAAAGGAACAGGTGCAGAGAAGGAAGAGGGAAGCTGGCTTCCTGCCAGCCTCTGGGTTTTCTTTCTGGCTTAGCATTATGTAAACTGAGAAGACCCAACCATGCATCCACTCCAGGTCACATAGTAGGTTTCCACATTCCAAACTGCAAAGAATGTAAGGGTTTTGTTGGTGATCAATTACAACACACAAACACACACACAATTACATTACATATTTACTTATCTTTATGTGAAAATAAGTAGCAGGGCAATTATGAATTTTTACAATGTAAAAAACTCTGATTTTAAGAGCTCAAATGTTTTAGAATATTCAGTCATGATGATCATCATGATCAATTCACCTGATAATACCTGTGGGGAAATAATGTCTCATGTAGGGCTAAATATTTACATTGAGAAAAATGTAGCATAAGAGAAGACACAGGAAGCCAATTTGTAGGAAAGTAAAAGAGAACTTATAGGTACCACTTCATGACCTATCTTGACCATGAAAATGATTGCATCAGTTTTTGACAAATTACATATGTCTCAAAATGTATCTCATTAATTCATAATTAAAATAAATATGTATTCAATATATAATTATTATGGGAAAATAAAGTCAGAGATACATCATAAGTCAAAATACATCACACTCTGGAGTATATGTATGATGGAGTTATGGTAAACTAATTGTTATAAGAAGTCAAAATGCAGAAAAATCATGTTATATTCTGTCATTTGAGAAGCAGTTTGACAACATCACTGAGCATGACCTCTCTGTCTTGTAAGTTTTCAGGACCAGTTTAGCACCATGGGAACTTAAGATGATCCATAAGATCCTCTTATCACATGTGAGCTCACATTTCATAGGTCTGTTGTGCTCCTTGCTCTGTACACAAATCTGCAAAACACAGAAAGTGAACAGAACCTCTAATCTCATACATATATAACTATGAGAAAAATAATGTTTTCACAACACAAATACATAATGAAGAATCATATCCTCATTAGTATTACAAATATTGCAAAATATCTCCCAGAACATTCTACTGTGCACTCTACCTTCCCTATCTGAGGCTTCCACAATACAAGAGTCTCTGTAGCAGGGGGTTTGGCCCAGCTTGGACCCTGCAGATCTACGAGGATCCCAGCCCTGGATGCAAGGTCTACCTCCTGGGGGGCAGGGCAGGACTGAACACAGATGGTGCCATGGAGTTTTCAATGAGCTGACTTTTCCTTATTGCTGTTTTAAAAGATAATTCATGAAAAAACAATTGATACTGAGTGTGTGAGTGAACACGAATGGGATAAACAGTGGATCTCTGTGCCAGTTTCCTGAACAAGATGTCACTGTGTTCGCAGGTGTCCAATTTGAGGAGCAGCTGGTGGAGTTAGGGAGAAGCGTGGTGCAGTTTTCAGGGTCCCTGAGACTCTCCAATGTGGCGTTTCGATTCGCTTTCTGTAATGACAGAGTTATCTTAGCTCCAGGGAGGGGCTACAGAGTGTAAAAGTGGTGGTAGCACATAGTACCCCAAATGTGTGAAGAACCGATTCACAATCTTCAGAGAGATCTCCAAGAACACACTGCATATGCAAATGAGCAGCCTGAGATTTGGGGACACAGCCGTATGTTACTATGGAAGAGTTACAGTGAGGGGACATCAGAGTGAGCCCAGACACAAAGCTGCTTGCAGGGCACCCAGGACCAGCAGGCAGCACTTGGGTAACAGAGAGAGTATATGATCTACCTCAAGAGAGGATTTACAAGAAATTGAAAGGTGGTTTGCTGTCAGGATCCAGAACTTCTCTGCATAATACTTATCCACAGAAACTCCAATTTTATGTGCCTGTCCTTACCTCAGAAGTCTCTCAGTCAGACATGGTCATCTACATAGAATTTATCCTTCTTTATAGCTAAATAGTAGTCCATTATATATAACTACCATATATTCTTTATATTTTCATATGTTTATGATATATAGGCTGATTCCAAGATTTAGCTCTTATGAAGCATGTTGTACAATGATTGATATGCATATAATGCTGAAGTGTAATACTGTTAACTATTTGGTAAAGATGTACAGTGGGAATAGCTTGACCATATGGAATTTCTACCTTCAGTTTTTGAAGAATATCCATACTGATTTAAAATGTCTGAACTAGTTTCCAATCCCAGGACCAGTGTAGCAGGATTCATAGGAAGGAAAGTTAACATGAAGCAGCATGAGGATTGTCAGGAGCTGTCTGGTGATGGGATGTGAGAGTGGACCAGGGAGGGAGGGATTGCAGAGAAGTCTCAGGACACATTGAGAGTGACATGTGTGCTCTCTGCTTCTGGTGTGTGTCATTGTGCCAATGTTCCTGTATGTTAACACTTCTAAGGTGCACACTTTCTATATGGGCAGTTTTTGCCTTATATTTGGTGTAGCTTTTACAGATAAACACCAGGTGAGAACAGAAGAAGAGGGAGAGAGGTAACAACATTTAACAATGAAAGAGACCCTAACCGGCATCAACATGATCACATTCAGTTTCTTCTTAGGAAGCAGCGGAATGCAGCAAAGTCACACAAGTTCTCACTACAGGGAAAAGGGACGTGAACCTCAGCAGCTGTGTCACTCTCTGTCTATGAGCCAGATCAGGAAACTCTTCACAATTTAAGAGAGAACAGGACCAGACAGTAGACATAACCATTAGACATGGGATCTAGGGTAGATAATACAACAGTTTATGGCATTTTCAGTTTTACACGATTACAGTAAGCAATATCAATAAAAAACTATGATTCATGGACATGGACAAAAGTGAATGGAGCTCAATTGACACTCACAGAACAAGACTCTGTCACATAACTATCATAATGTTTTTCATTACTACCATTCTTACCAATCTTTCTAATGACACTCACAGCTGCTGTGTCATGTGCGTTCTGAGATATCAAGCCCAGAGCTGTCTATATAGCAAGAACTCATGCAAATATGGCCTCCATGTGCTGATGAAAAGCAGCCCAGCCCTCACGCTGCAGCTCTGTAGAGGAGCCCAGCCCTGGTGCCCAGCTGTTCCCACACGAAATCAGGACTGAGCACAGATGCTCACAATGGAGCTCAAAGTGTGCTGGGTTTTTCTTCTTGCTGTTGTGAAAGGTAAAAAAAAAAAAACAAGAGATATTGAATATGTAAGTGGACACGAAGGGGATAAACAGTGGATCTCTGTGACAGTTTCCTGAGTAGGATGTCTCTGTGTTTTCAGGGGTCCTGTGTGAGGAGCAGCTGGTGGAGTCCGGAGGAGGCTTGGTGCAGCCTGGGAGCTCCCTGAGACTCTCTTGCGTGGCTTCAGGATTCACCTTCAGTAGCTACACCATGTACTGGATCCGCCAGGCTCCGGGGAAGGGGCTGGAGTGGATCTCATACATCAGTAGCAGTAGTAGTAACATAAAATATGCAGACTCCGTGAAGGGCCGATTCACCATCTCCAGGGACAACGGCAAGAACACGGTATATCTGCAGATGAGCAGCCTGAGACCCGACGATACAGCCATGTATTACTGTGCAAGAGACACAGTGTGGGGGCATCAGTGTGAGCCCAGACAAAATCCTCCCTGTACTGGCGCTCTGGACCAGCAGGCGGCGCGCGAGACACACAGCTCACAGTATACCGCAGAGCACATCTAAAAATTGTACAAAGGAAGAAAATAACAAAGGCTGAGGAGAAGAGGACAAGGAGATGGCTCCCGTGCAGTAGGGAAGTGGTCCAGGGTTACAACAGCGAGTACTGAAGTGGGAGAGAAAGGAAAATAAGTAGAACAAAGATTTCTTGTGTAGCAGAACCAAATAACGTCAATTACTTTAAACATTACATGGCATAACAGAAGCTCACGCAGAAAAGAGGAAACTTCAGGATCTCCCACAAAGGCAAGAATGGCAAGAGTGTAGAACAGGAGCTTGTACAGAGCAGCCCGTGAGCATGTTGCCTTGCATCTGTGTGGTCTCTTTTGCTGCAAGACCCTGGCCTGAAAGCCATCCACATAAAAAGCGGGTCTGGGACACTGTGGGCTTCAGCCCCCCTCACAATGGACCCCTTTCCCAGTTTCAGCCTCAATACCTGGGTATGGGGCTGCAGGGACCTGTAAAGTGGTGACATAATGTCACAGTGAGTGGATGCAAAGATTGTGATTCTGGGTCACTAAAGGGAAATGTGGGCCTTGCTCGGTTTGGTTGATGTTGATTTTGTTTTGCTTTCCATGCTTTTATTGGAAATGTCCACCCCATGCAAAGCCCACCACTATATTCAGGAAACACTTAAATTGTTTAATTTCAGAAATACAAACAGAAAAGTGCCATCCACAAAACGTCACCCATCATTTATGTAGAGGGTGTTTACATGTGACTTTTAATTTGATACTAGAGAGATTGAAAGCTTTAGGGACATTAGGAAAGAGAAAAATGACTTCAGTCAGAGGTAAAAGGAGTCTAGAGGAGAGGATGGAGAGCTGGGATCTGAGAACCTGGGCTCTCAGTGTTTCCACATGGGAGTTCATGCGCCCTCTGGAGGGCGTCATTACCAGGTAGAGTCTTTTTTGAGAGATTTGCCTGGAAGAGATCAGTTCCTAGAGGAAATCAGGGCTCTTGAGACCTGAGCTGATCTCTTGTCCTGCCTCCCTGCAATGGAGGGATGCAGTGTGCATCTTTTTCTACCTGAGGGTGCAGAAACTAGACAAGGGTTGGAGCACACAGCTGACTCCTGCCAGACACCAACTCTGTCACTGCCTGTTCTTGAAGGCCAGAAAGGCAAGGAAAACGTGCCTTTCATGTAAGATGCGCCTTTTGTGGTATTTTTACAGTTGCTGCCATAGACATACTCACTCCCTAAGTTTCTGTATCTGTCATGTTAACACTCTGAATACTTAAATGAGCATTAACAGATTTCCTGAGGAATTAATCTGAAGTATTTGAGCATTCATTTTCTAATTATTTTTGTCTTACTGGGGACGAGAAATCTTTAGAATCAATAGGCAAATAGCATAGCACTGAGCTGTATTCCAGGTCTATTTTTATGTATTTGTAAGTGAATTTGCATAAATGTTTGTGAATCACTTACATAGTCATATGTAGACATCTCAAAAAATATTCTATGCTAAACATGACCAATATTATAAATTGTGTGCTCAAAGTATAAATGTTGAAATAGGAAAGTTAACGTAAAGCAACCCGAGGATGATCACAAGCTGCCTGAGGATGGGATGCAGGAGAGAAGTAGGGAAGGGAGGGATTGCAGAGTAGCCTCAGGACACACTGAGGATGATGCATGAGTTCACTACTGTGATTGTGTATGTGTGGTTGTAAAAGTGTTCCTGTGTTTTAATATTTCTCAGATGCACACTTTTTCTATGGGAAGTTTATGTGTAATGTCTAATGAAGCTATCAAAGATACACAAAGTCTCAACACAGAGAAAGAGTGAGAGAGTCAATGATAGGTAAAGATAAGAGACTCAGTAGCAGGCATCCACATGGACTAAGATTCTGTTTTCTCTTAGCAGGCAGCAGAAAACAGCAAAGTCACATATGTTCTCCCTGTAGGAAGAGGAGAAGAGAGTCATCCCAGGTGTGTGTGCTCTGTTCAGGCCGTGGAACAGGAAGCAGTTTGTCCACAGCTTATGAGAACATAGGCCCAGACAGTGGAGAGGACATTTACAGCACATCAACTCTCCTGTAGTAAAGGAAAATGTTCCTGACAATTTGATAATTTTATGTATTTCCAAAGCATACAAAAACCAATGTGCATGTTAAGAGTACATGAAAAATAAAAATAAAGAGATCAAAATCAAGAATTTTAATCAATTAAGTTTCCCTGTTGTCTTCAGTGATATCTTTGCTACCAAATGTCATTAGCACACTAACATCAGATGTTACTCTGCCCTCTCTGAGTTTTTCATGCGCCGAGCTGTCTATATAGCAGAATTTCATGCAAATAGGGCCTCCATGTGCTCATGAAAACCAGCTTAACCCTCTCCCTGCAGCTCTGCAAAGGAGCTCAGCCCTGGTGCCTACTCGGTGATCAGCACTGAGCACAGAGGGCTCACCATGGAATTTGGGCTGAGTTGGGTTTTCCTGTTTACTCTTCTGAGAGGTAAATTATTGAGAATCAAGAAAATGGAGTGGCAAATTGGATGTGACTGCGGTAATCAGTGGACATGTGTGACAGTTTCCTGAACAAGATGTTCTTGTGTTTGCAGGTGTCCAGGCTGAGGAGCAGCTGGTGGAGTCCGGGGGAGGATTGGTGCAGCCTGGGGGCTCACTGAAACTCTCCTGCGTGGCCTCAGGATTCACCTTCAGTAGCTATGACATGAGCTGGATCCGCCAGGCTCCAGGGAAAGGGCTAGAGTGGATCTCACTCATCAGTAGCGGTGGTAGCATATACTACGCAGGCTCCGTGAAGGGCCGATTCACCATCTCCAGAGACAACGGCAAGAACACGCTGTATCTGCAGATGAACAGCCTGAGACCGGAGGACACGGCCGTGTATTACTGTGCAGGTGGCACTGTGAGGAAACATCAGTGTGAGCCCAGACAAAAACCTCCCTGTAGGGGCGCTCACGCCCAACTGAGGATGCTGTTGTCCCTGGAGAACCAGCTGGGCCCTGAGGAGCAGGTGCACAGAAAGAAGCAGAGGAGGGAGTGTTTCCTGGGGCATCTGGGTTTTCTCTTCTGTATTAACTTCTTAGGTCCTGAACCACCCCCAATGAAGTGCCCAAGTTCAAGGAAATATTCTCTGTTAAATGTAATTGCATGAGTATATACGAAGCACTGACTTTTTAAATTTTCTGTTTATGAATTTTACTTGTTGGTAAACAAAACTTGCATCCATCTCCACACAATTTGTGCATTTTGTGAAGTGAATTTTCTATTCCATGTCATATCCTTATCATCTAAATATGGATCTGCTGGTTTAGTTTGGGTGATGAGGAACTATCTCATGCAATAATAAATGCTTCAGGTTAGGAAATTAAATCTTTCCCACCCCTCTCCATGGAATCTCATTACAAAGCTTTTTCCTCCCCTTGGCCCCCTTAGAAGACCGAGTCCCCAGCCTCAGCCTCAACACCATGAGGAGCACTGAGCTCAGGGGAGGAGGAAGAAGGGCAGCCTGACTGAACTCAGGGCAGTGTCTATGGACTTAATGTGCTCTTTCCAGACAAGAGGGCAGAGCAGGACTTGGTCCTGTGCCTTCTTTTGCACCTTAAAAATTGAAAAATTTACAAAGAACAACAAAACCATTCTGTACCTTAATCTCCATTTCTGTCTCTTTCTTTCTGATTTTTCACCTCTTTCTTTTTTTGATTTTGTAATTTTTTTATTTTAAAGGAGGAAAATAGAACAGTAATGTGAACAATACAAAGCAGAGTAGGACAGCAGGAAACTTACCATCATTACTGTATTACACAATCTCATCCTCTAATTAGTTGCTCAAGCTCCCGGCCCCAGGTTTGCAAAGTCAATCAAACAGTTTAAACGTCACGTCTTCAAAAGACTAGGATTGGAGGTTCCATTCAATCCAGCCATTCCCCTGTAAAAATTTGGGTATTTCCCCAGAAAAATTGAAAAGGTCTTGTCATAGAGATATATGTTCACCCATATTCATAGCAGCACAATTTGTGAAAGCTAAATCCTGGAAACAACCCAAATGCCAAGTCAACCACAGAGTGCATGAAAAACTGGTATTTTTTTTTAATTATTTAAAGAGAAGGAAACAAAAAATACATGGAGATAAAAAAGGGTTAAAATAATAGAAAATTACAGAAAAATAAATGGTAAGAAATCACCAGCTGATACATATTGTGAAGTCTGGGGCCCTCTTTTTTCTCATGAGATTGGCTAACCCCATATGTTACCTACCTCCTTCTCCAGAATACCTATATACTTGGGGAAGAACATGAGTTAAGATGCAGAGTTCAGGGTTAGATCCAGTAATGACAACCAGACAATTGCAAGGGGTGAGGCCATTTTTACAGGAAAAGCAAGTTTCTTCCATAGAGACTAAATGTTGTTTGAAGAGGTAAGAGACATTTAGTAAATACACAGTTGAATTACAATTGATTTGAAATGGAGAGTACTTCAAAGGGAAATTTACAGATTGAATACAAAGTCCAGAGTCCTGAATATTTCCCTAAGTGAGGGATTCAGGTCCTTGTCCCCACCAGCATAAAAAAACAGAACCAAGGTTTGAGGTGTTTACCATTTGGATTTGATTGTTGGTCTCAACAGTTGCATTCGCATTAAGTCACACATAATAGGGCGTCTCGGGATTTAAGCATAGGCAACAATCTTCAGTAATGGTGGATGAGCTACTAAGTAATTTAAACATCAGTTCCAGAGATTGCAAGATAGGACTCTCAGGTTGTAACTGTGCTATGGTGTGAAGAGGTCATTCAGGGACAGATGGTGAGAGAGGGGACCTCATGGTGGAGGTAATCGCTCCAGTGAGAAACGCCTTTTGTGACAAGGTGAGCCCACTGAGGGGTCCTATATGTTTTGAACAGATTGGAGTACTTTTCTGGTTTTCCATGGATGGTAGAATGAATCAGGATCCCACTCAGTGACATAGAGGCAAATGCTCCAAATTTTTCCTCCATTTCAAAAAGAATCTCCCCATTTTGTTGGTCAAAATAAAATGAAGCCCTTATGGGAGT